TAAGTCTTTTCTCATGTATTTAAAAACTCTTGGCATATGTGCGTGAGGCTACAATATGTGGATATACCGTAATTCACTTATCAGCGAATAATATTTCTTATTATCGGACATTTATATTTGCTGTTTTTGTTCATTTGTTTCTTCAGTAAATGGTGGTAGAGAAATTTCTTTCTTTTCGTTTGTCTGCTTCAGTAAATTGGGGTAGAGAATACACTCTTGTGTGGCATTTGTTTAGGGTCTAGCACTGTGTTAGTAAACCAGCCTTGAAAGTAACCAGTGACTCATCTCTGTTTTGTTCCTCAGGTGTGTCCCCCCGGGCCCCCTTTTCCTGTGTGCGTTTTCTTCAGAATTTTGTAGTGCTTATTTCATTCATAGCCCTTTCAGGAAACACCCTCGCAGCGCCCTTTCCTGTTTCAGGTTCTGGTAGTGTGGGTGCTAGCTGAGAGAACTCTTCCTTTTTAAGCTTAAAATAGATGTAGCTTGCAGAAAGTCAGTATCTTTAGAAAAACTATTTTAGACGTAGTCTGTTCAGTTTATTAAAAACAAAATCGTTCAAAACACCTTTTGGAAGGATACCAAAGTTTTATAATATTCCAAGCTCTTTACTGGTTTGTTTTGTAAGAACTAGGTAAGTTCAGTAGATTCAATTCTTTTGACAAATATTTATGGAGTGCTTACCATGTGCCAGGCCCCATTTTAAGCATGGGGGATATAAAACCAGCAACAACTTTGCCTTCATGGAGCTTACGTGTTAATGGAGAGAAACAGACACTAAACAAGATAAAATAAATAAACAATAACTGGGTCCCCAATTCCTTAAATGAAGCTTTGGGAACCAGATGTGTTTTAGATTCAAAAATTTAAAAAAGATTTTAGAAAGATAATATGGTGTATATATTATGTCACCTAACACCCAGGGAAGCAGTAATCACACCTATTAATATTCTTCAGTATCGAAGTATGATCATTCACACTTGGATGAATAAAGACTAAAACAGCTTCATGTTAGTGCAAGTGAGAGATTTCTGCAAAATGAGTATCAAAGGATAATTTTCAAAAAAGATAAAATTATGATGTGATACAGATATAAAATGAACACATTTTGAAGATTTTATTTAACTTATTAAATGAAGGAACCCGGTAGATGGTATAGCCCATTCAAAGGAGAATCCTTAGAACAGACATATTTATAGATTAGGAATATTAAAATGATGGGCAAATTGAGGCAAAACTCACCTCTTCCATCACGGGAGAGGGAAGTCAGTGAACCTCTTCTGGACAGGACAGTTTGCATGTGTATAGACAAGAATTATCCTGCATTGTTTTCAGTTATCTATAATGTACAGAGTTGAAGATAGCTTCCATAGAATTAGAATCTGATAACCTGAAAGGATGTGCCCTTGACAGTGCATTTTTTTTTCCACTGAAGTTAAATTTTTTTTTTCCTACATGAGTTCCTAGAAAGCTTTGTTTTCTGAGCTGTTCAGAATTAGACATAAGGGATATAGAGGCATAATACATTTGACAGTGATAGTGCTTTGCAGAAAAATAAAGGTGCAGAGGGAGGTTACAATTTCAAATAGAGGAGCCAGGAAAGACTGGCTGAGAAGGTGATATTGTGAGTAGAGTTAAAGTAGATGAAGTTGTTTACCTGAGTAACTGAAATGATGAGGTTGCTATGAACTGAGCCGGAGGAAGAGCAGTTGAGGTAGAGGGCAGGGGAGGTGGAGATCACCCCTTCAGTTTGGGCCCTTAGACATTCAAGTAGAGATGTTGATGCAAGTGGATACACATCGCTGGAGTTCAGGGAAGATGTGAGGGCTAAAGATGAACATTGGGGAGTTCATGCATGTCGGTGACATTTAAAGCCCTCAAACTAGGTGAGATCACTAAAAACAGGGCTTCTTCTATGGGCCAGGCTCTGCGTTAGTCCCTGGGGATACAGGGATAAATTAAAAATTGTTCTCAAGGTTTAATGGGGGCAGTTATAAACAGTTAAAGCAGTATAAAAATATACTAATATAAATACACGTAAAGTACAGATGATTCCGTGAAGTCAAATCTGAGAGTCATCTTAAACACCATCACCCTCAAACTTCCTCGTTCGGTGACCTGACCATGAGACATGCACAGAAGATAGTCAAAGTGTGGAACCTTTAATATCAGCTGGCTTTTCCACTAACCCCCTCTGCCCAGCAAACTTCCAGTGATATTAGAGAGCCTTGCTGGTGACACTATGCATGGCTTACAAGGCTCCCTATTATTTGGCGTTTGTCTTATCCCTTGCTTTACTTGAATGAATAAAGACTGTAACAGCTTCATGTTAGTACAAGTGAGATATTCTGCAAAACAAGTATCAAAGGATAACTGTACACTTAAAAATGGTTAAAATGGTAAACTTATGTATATTTTACCACAATAAAAAAAAATAGAACCTAGAAAGGAAAAGACCTAGAAATACATTGCTGCTGTAATAAAGAAAAAGAAAGATTTCTAGCTACTAAAATCGTATACTGATATTGGAGAGAATTTCTAGGAGAGATTGTATTGAAAACAAGTTAAGTGCTATCTTTTGAGTAGATAAGGACAGATAAAAATATATAGTCATATTTGCTTTTATTTGCATAAAGAAACACTGGAAGGATTAACTAATAAAAGTTGTTAGTTCTAGCAGGTAAGGAGGACTAAGGTCACCAGGGGCAGGCGTGGTAATGAGACATCTCAATGTATAATATCCTTTTATGTACTTTTGATTTTTGGACCATGTAAATGTATTACCTATTCAAAATAATGTTTAAACATGGGAGTTAAAGTGGTTTCATTATAGAGGGATCATCAATTTGTAGCCACAGAAAACAACTTTCCAGAGATACTGATTGAAATATTGCTACATGTGACGTCTCCTCCCCCAGACAAGTCAGAGACTGGTTTAGATGAAGAAGTGAGTTTCACCTCCCTTCCACTGCAGGCAACAAAGAGAACGTATTTTGGGTAGAGATTTATTAAAGCCAAACTCTCTAAGTTCATTAATACCAAGAGTCAGAAAGAGAGGGTGACAAGACATTGCATCTGCAGTGAGACCTCTTACCAGGGTCCAAGTGCTTGAAGGTTGACCATGGCAAATAGGGTCATTAAATATATTAAGCTCCTGAGTCTGGGAGCCTTAACCATTGAAAAACAGGAAAACTGTCTGGATATAGCTCTGCATCCCTCCCCCCCACTTTCTCTGATTCAGTCACTAATTAGGAGCGTATTATGTCTAACATTTGCATCTGAAGCAAGAAGCAGGATTGTTTCACCTTTCTTAGGCAGTGGGAGCAGAGAGAGCGGCCGATAGCTGAGCACCCACCTAGTGGCCCCCCTCCTGCCTTCCGCACCAAGGGAGTAGGACTATTCTATCTTCCCTGGATATTTCTTTCCAGCTCTCCTTTCCCACCTACATCCAGTAGGAAATGTGGATAGAACCCTGCGGCTGACTGTAAAGTAAAAGTCTGTCTCGGGGCAGCCCAGCCCATCCTAACTCTTGCTTCTTAGCTGTGTCCCAGGGCTTGTGGGTTGAGGGAGAACCCAGGGAGTCATATCCTGGAACCATGCCCAGATTATAGCTGGTAGAGCACCACCTTCCAGCAAGGTGGTCAAAGTGCAGGTCAAGAGAAAGAGCTGAAGTACAGAGCCAAAACGAGAGAATTGAAGGACTGGGAAACAACATTGAAAGTAGTGAAGAATTCGGCAACTGTGAAGAAATTTATAAAAGTCCCAGAGATGGAATTCACATGATTTTTTTTATAGGATTCCAGCACAGGCACTGAAGGTATACTTTACTCATTTAAAGTTATTAGGAAAAAATAATAATAAAGTTATTAGAATGGGGAAGCAATTCATTTTTCTCTTGCCTCATTGATCAATTTGTAGGTCTGTCTTGCCCGTTAAATTGTAGGAATTGAAGACAAGGACTTTAGCCATAGTGGACAAAGCATGGACTTTGGAACTGGGCAAAGCTCTTTAAATCCAAACCGCTTCTCTTTCTAGGTGTTTGGTTTTGGTCAAGTTATTTTTATAACACTGAACTTCAGTTTCCATGTGCATCATAGGGTTGTTGTTATAAGGATTAAATGAGAGAAAAACATGTATATATGATCATCCTACACACAGAAAGTATTCAGTAGAAATTTTGTTCCCTCTTCCTTTTTGTATCTCCCACAGAGTTTTACGTTCAAAATATCAAATTGAGCATGTTAGTGTTAAATTTGAACCCTGGTTAAGGACTGCCTGAGGCAGGCATGTTTATAAGCCTTTCCCCTCGAACAGCGAAAGTTGTTGCTAAATAATTTATTAAGCAGCTGCCTGTTATGTGCCAAGTGCTAAGGTTTCACTTGTGGATCTGGTTTATCTTCTTATGATTTCCTTCTTACTATCAGGGTCCAGCTTCTACTCTGTGAGGGCCTGTTCCTTATTCTCTATTTATGGGACCTCTTCTCCACACCATTTTTTTTTTTTTTTTTTAATCAGTGGGTATGAGAGGCATTACCTTATACTCACTGTTTTTCTAAAAAACCTCAACCACATGCTTTAGGCATGGATAAGTGTGGGGACTGTTAAATCTCTTTCCTTTTTTTGTCAAATATTTACTGAGCACCTCCTGTGCTAGGGTAGAAAAAAACTGAATACGTGATTCCTGCTCCCCAATGGTAAAAAAAAAATAAGCACCCTCCAAATTATATTTAATTACTTCGTGATACAATATTTACTTTTGTTTACCATTTTACATTTTACTGTTTAAAATGATCCCATTTTGAAAACACTCACATACATGTGGAAAAAGAATTTGGAAGGATATCCACCAAGATGGGGCAGAGCTTATCTCGGAGTAGGGGTATTTTTTTTTTTCTTTTATTTTGCTTATCTGGATTGTCTAAATTTTCAAAAATTTCACTAGAAAGTGCATCATTTCCCCCTGCTTGCGAACAGGAGAGTGACCCCTCTCTTCCTCTTGCATTCAGCTTTTGCGAGAATTGAAGCACCCTAACGTGATCGCCTTGCAGAAGGTGTTCCTTTCTCACAGTGACAGGAAGGTGTGGCTGCTCTTTGATTATGCAGAACATGATTTGTGGGTAAGTCTAAACTCGCTTTATTTTTAGGACTCTTTCCTCTAGGTACAGAGAAACAGATGTATATATGCACTGCACGTTGCTAATGCACGTAAAGGAAAACTTGCTTTGTTGACCAGAGTTTAAAATAAATATTAAATGCAAATGCAGATTTAAAAAAACTCGAGCAATAAACACTGTCATATACTGAGAAGATAGTATTTGTAACATTCAGAAATTTCACTTCAGAAAGTGTTAATGTGTGTGAGATTGTAATTTTATGCAAATCATCAATGACAGTTTACTGATAATGTGTAGTGAAAATTGCTTTCCTTTGTGGTACACAAAGTAGTTCAAATTTCACCAGTTATATACTTGTGAATAATTTCCCTTTCTAAGTTAAGGTCAGTCTCTTGCAGCAATTTTCCAATTAAAACCAACTCCACCAAATGGAAGTACATATATAGTTTTACAAATATTAGCTAAAAATTCTAATTCCAAATTTTTTAAGTTAGAAATCAGGGTATTTAAACATTTTATCCAAGGAGTTGCTAAAAGTACAAAAATTCAAACTTGGCAGTAAGTCCAAATTTTTGATAGTTAAGTTTTGACTAAACATAGTTGGGTGTGTCATCTATGTATACGGCACATCTGTTTAGGAGTAACTTTAACAGACTTATAGGTCTTTTTTTTTTTTTTTAAAGATTTTATTTATTTATTTGAGATAGAGAGAATGAGAGACACACGAGAGGGAAGAGGGTCAGAGGGAGAAGCAGACCCCCCGCTGAGCAGGGAGCCCGATGTGGGACTCGATCCCGGGACTCCAGGATCATGACCTGAGCCGAAGGCAGTCGCTTAACCAACTGAGCCACCCAGGCGCCCCCCAAACTTATAGGTCTTGAAGGAACTTTCAGAATTTATGCTATTATAGCATATTGACAAGAATGTCCAATGAATTTTTCTCATGGATATTCATAAAAATTATGTTTTCCCCATTTCTCTGTATCCTTTATATTTCTGCCAAGGTTTATTTGATAACATGTGCACTTCACTTTGAACATCAGTGATGAAAGAACATGTAGTGCATTGGACTAGTCAGGTCCTGTAGAACTGTGTTGTTTGTAACATGGTGGCCCCTAGCTGCGTGTGCCCATTGAGCAGTTGAAGTGTAGCTGGTCTAAATTGAGATGCACCATAAATATAAGATACACACTGACTTTTGAAGACTTAGTAGGAAAAAAATGTAAAATACCTCATTAAGATGTTTTATATTATATGTTGAAATGATAATATTTTGAATATACTGGGTTAATTAAAATAGAGTACATCAATTTTACCTGTTTCTTTTTTTTCTTTTGATGTGGCTGTAAAAAGTTGAAAGTTATATATGTGTAGCTCCTACTATATTTTTTGGCGGGGGGGGGACACTGCTGCTACAGTATAAACCCTAATTTTCTATTAGTTCTTTAAATAAAGTACATATTGTTGAACAGTTTATAAAAAAGCAAGAAAGCTATGTAAATAGCTTAAAATTTTTCCCTACCATTTGGCCATTTTAAAGTTAGTAGAGCAATGTTAACAGTGTTGTTTAATAGGGGTTTAAATGGCCTTTAATACCCTTATGTCATGTTTTGCATAGGGGTGAGGTGGAGATGGAGGTGCAGGTTTGGGGTTCAGGTAGCATTTCTTCCCTATCATTATAATGTTTTCATGACCTACAAAATAACGTGTGGACATAAAAATTTGAATATGTTGATGCAGTTATATTTATTTCAATGGGATTGAATTCCCCAATTTTCTCTCCCTCCTCCCTTCTAGTGATTTCCTATTTAATATTAACTACTAGGAATGTATCTTAATTTCATTCTGTGCCAAAACAAGGTAGAACTTTCCAATAATTCAAATGTACACATAGTCAGTGACATTACACAAATGCTCTAAGTGCTAACTTTTTATAGTATCGTAAAGATATAGGGGCGCATGGCTGGCTCAGTTGGTAGAGCATGCGACTCTTGATCTCAGGGTTGTGAGTTCCAGCCCCACATGTGGCATGGAGTTTCCTTAAAAAACAAAACAAAACAAAACAAAAAAAACAGTAAAGATTTACAGGGTCTTTTTATCTTTTTTTTTAGTCTTTCATTCTGTCAATAGAAAATACAACTAGTACTATTTTTATGCAGGCTTTTAAACATCAATGCTTTTTACCTTTCAGTCTTATTTAATGAAAATCTTAATGGTTTCAATAAATCTAGTCATTATACCCTCAGTAACATTGTCACGTTCACCGCCAATATAGGTTCCATTTGGTTGACCTTATTATTCAAATTATTTTTCTTTGCGTCATTATTGGCCTTTAATAAGTAATTTTTAAATATAGGGAGTTTATTGCAGACTTGTGTTTTATTGATATAGATATTAGCAAATACTATATATAATTTAGTATGTTTTATTTTTTTTAATTTTTAGCATATTATTAAGTTTCACCGTGCATCAAAAGCAAATAAAAAGCCCATGCAGTTGCCAAGATCTATGGTTAAATCATTACTTTACCAGATTCTTGATGGTATCCATTACCTCCATGCAAATTGGGTGCTTCACAGAGATCTGGTAAGTATGTTTCTTTTAAATTGATCAATATGATTTTTTACCTTCTCTTAAAAAATATCTTTTCCTCTTAGTGCAATTATTATAAACATTAATTGTAGAAAATTTTGAAAACACATGTAAGCAGAAGGGAAGGAAATAAAATCACCCATAAGCCTACAATTAAAAGATTAACACTATTAACATTTTGTGTATGTTCTTCCATTATATTTATGCATAGCTATAAAATGTCAGTGTGGTTTTCAGTGAATGATTGGCATAATCTTAATGGAATAGTCATATGTGAAATAAGTACCTTTTAATCCATTTTGTTTTTCGTATTATTGCTCATCGTTAGTAAAAACATTAATAATTAAAGATTGAGTTCTCATTGTTTTTTTTCCTTAAGAGCTAGGTTGAAATAATGACATTGCATCCAGTAAATAGAATGTTATCAATATTATCAATAAATGTTATCAATATTATCAACAAATCAAATGTTTGATTATACTTTTTTTCAGTACACATGTAACAAGCATTTATTAACGTCAAATTCTAGTTATCTTTGCATTATTGTCATGTTAGTTTATGTTGATGAGATCTTTTTGGTTTGTTTGTGAGAAAACATGGCTACTGGATAGTTGTAAAACCCATGAGTTTATAATTGGAAATTTTATTCCCCAACTCTCCTCGAAAAAGTGGTTTCATGATCATTATTTCTTAGGCTTTTGGAGATTCTAGGGATATGGTAGGGATAAATCTAGGTTGACTTGGTTTTACTAATTGAGGAGAAGGATTTGTTATAGAAAGCGATGAATACACAAGGACATTAGTTAGTACCCCTTGCTGTCTGACTTGACCATCTCTTGCTGTGACACTGAAGTTAAATTGGACCCAAATGACAGTGACCACAAAGATGGACTTACCCTTTCAATAGATGCATGTCACCTCATAATTTTGAACTGTTCTCAAAGACTTCCACCTATCCACTTTGCTACTAACCATGAATCAGCACATTTTTACGTGGGTACATGAGGTCGTTCCACTTCAAAACCTTCTTCATAAATGGTTTTAAATATTAATTTGCTATGTACTTAGTATAACTGATGTGAGTTATTTTTGAGTTCATGATCATGTTTGAATCATCGATCAGAATCTTTTATTGAAGATTAATTTCAACTCCTCTTTTTTCACAAAATTATATATTTTATTCTGAAAGCATAGATTAACAGATTTTATTTCTGATCTTGTCACCTGAGTATCCACCTGTGCTAAAACTCAGATTTTTCTCTAGTTGGTTTGCTGCTGCTTTAGTGTCTATTTTAGTTATGGCATCACCCTCCTCTCAGCCTAGAAAGTTCTTTTACCCCTTGTGGACGCTTGCACTGTACATGTAGACCTTGCCTAGTCTTGTCAGTTTCACCTCTAAGATCTCTCCTCCTTTTGTCCATTTCCATCCCCGGTGCCTCATTCCTAGTTCAGGCCTTTATTGTCTCTTTCTTGAAGGATGGTGCTAGCCTCTCAACTTGTCTTCCTTGCAAACAGTCTCTTTCCCTTCCATTCACTTTGGACCTTCTGAATAATTACACAGCTCCCGTTCAAGAACTTTGAGATAGTTCCTCTTTGCTTACAGACTAAAGCTCTAGTTCCTTATTGGGCTTTCAAGGTCCTAACAGATATAGCTCCAACTGCCTTTAGAATTTGTCTTTATCCCTACAATCTTTCATTTACACTGTACCATTAAACTATTGATTGCTCCCTGTGTCGTCCTGAGATTTCCTGCCTCAGTGGCCTTTATTACCCCATCTCTTCATATTCAAATACTGCCTGTCTTTGAGGACTTGCACAAATGTTAAAACTTATCCTCGTACCCATTCCTACTGGGAAATAATTCCTCCTTCATGCTCTTGCTGTCGTACGTCTTTACTTCCCTTATGACACTTACCTGTTAGTATTATAGCACTGTATGTAGCTGCCTTAGAACATCTTCTAGACCACATACTTTCTGAGAGAGCAGGGTCTATGATTCATTTTGGCACACTAGTAGTACCTGAGTACACAACAGGTACTGGATAAATATTTCCTCAGTGAGTGAATATGGGTTAGAATACTGATTATTATGGGGTGCTTTTGGATCAAGTAACGAATTTACACATTTCAACACACTGTCTGCAATAAACATTCATTATTACCTCGTATGTTTAAAGCATGAGGGATGGGGACAGCACAGATATGACTGCATGGAAGCCCTTCTCCTCGGGACTTTACTCTGAGAGAAGAAATATGCCATGGACACAAGCAATTACGCTGTAAGCCACATGAGAAAGAATGTGATCGTGCCCATGTGACAGGAACAGACTAAATGCTAATCAAGGTTAGAAGAGGTTATGAGGGGTGAGGGGAGAAGGGAAAGCTTCACAGAGCTGCCACTTGAACTAGACGATGAAGGATAAGTAGAATTGAAATAGAGGTTTGAGGAAGTGAAGCTTGACTTTGGCATCTTAGACCACTTGGCTATACTGACATCCTAAGGAGAGGTTTGAGAGAGGAGGTAACCTGAGGAAGTGTTGGATGTAAAAACTTCTGAGGTGAGAAAGCTCTTGAATTATCCCAGAAAGAGTATGGGTTTCTGTCTGATTCCACTATGGATAAGCTAGTGGTAGTATGTGGTTAAGACTAGAAAGATATCGGGGCACCTGGGTGGCTCAGTCGTTAAGCGTCTGCCTTCGGCTCAGGTCATGATCCCAGGGTCCTGGGATTGAGTCCCACATTGGGCTCTCTGCTCGGCGGGAAACTTGCTTCTCCCTCTCCCATTCCCTCTGCTTGTGTTCTCTCTCTCGCTGTGTTTCTCTCTGTCAAATAAATAAATAAAAATTAAAAAAAAAAAAAAGACTAGAAAGATATTGGTTAGAGCCTGATCAAGGAAGCCCAAGATATCAGGCTAGGGAGTTTGTTTGTTCTTTTTTTTTTTTTTAAAGATTTATTTATTTATTTATTTGACAGAGAGAGAGAGAGAGAGAGAGAGTGCACAAGCAGGGGGAGAGGGAGAAGCAGACTCCCCACTGAGCCGGGAGCCCGATGCGGCACTCGATTCGAGGACCCTGGGGTCATGACGTGAGCCGAAGGCAGACCCTTAACCGACTGAGCCAACCCAGGCACCTCAGATGTTTGTTCTTAAGTACTGAAAGTTTGTGAGCAACAGGGGTGCCTGGCTAGCTCAGTGGGTAGTGCACGCAACTCTTGACCTCAGGGTTGCAAGTTCAAGCCTCACATGTGGTGTAGTTTACTTAAAAAAAAAAAAAAAAAATTGGGAGCAAGAGAATGAACATTTTTTTCCGGAATGAAAATTTTTCTCCCGCTAAAGAAGCCACTATTGATTATTATAACCTCATCCATAGCATGAACATGGTGTTGAAAAAAATATATTCTGCATGTGGTTCTGACCTTATATAGCACATTCATAATTTACTCACATTCACTGAATGCCTCTACTCTTCAAGTAAGTAACTAATAATATTTGGAACTTTGAACCAGTAGGAATCCACCCTGGGACAGCCTGCTCAGTTCTTACCGTAGATCATGAATCCTGATAGCTGGACCATATTGTCATGGTTCTGCCAAAGTATTTTCAGGAGTAGAAGATTTAAACTGTATGTTTACTTTAGATGTATTCTGTAGTCAGTATAGAAATATAAAGTATGTCAAATATGAATGTGGTGTTAAAATATGATGGGGACATTAGAAAAATTATTTTTTTGTGTGTGAGCTTAATAGAGTTGCGATTTTAGTCAGGAGTGGTTTTTTTTTTAATGCTTCATTTCCTATTGCTATAAGAAATTTGGCTTTATACTATTTGTTGGTCACAGTTGTTTCAGAGTATGTACCATTTCTAAATTTTCATTTGACGTGAGAAACCTGCAAGATCCATATACTTAAAGGCATTAGAGTAAATGTAAATTTGCAGTGTAATAGTCTGATTTAAAAAGTAAATCAAAATTCAGTGTTTTGGACTCTACAAACAGGCATTATATCATCAAAGAAGTCGGGGTTTTTCATTGTGATTGATTACATATCTGGGATAAGTATTTAGTTATGTCATTTGAATCCCAGAATTTAAAACAGAAATAGAGAATTTAAATAAAGTCACTAAAAAGATTACTTATATTAAGGAATTGCTTTAAAAGGAAAGGAAAAGAGGAGCTAAATATATTCATCTTGGCTGAGAGACAGCGAAGTAGAGACATGAGTCTATAAATATTTGGAACTTGTAAACACACGGGAAAAAAGATGTATTTTAATTTTACAGCAGGATATAGCTAAGAGTAAGAAGATGAAATCTAGGATGACTCACTTTTATGTGATTACTCTTCTGGAGGCTGGAAGGGTACCAAGATAGAATTTATCTCTTTTTCAAAATTGTGAGCTTCGGGGGAGCAAGGATCATATCTTACTAATTTTTGTATTCCTAGTGTTGGTATACTGTTTGTGTTTTAAGTTACTTAAATTGAATTTCAGCAAAGCATCTGGCAATTGCCTATTGTTCTTTAGCAAAGGTAGAGAACTACTGGCTAAATGATAGTGTTGTTAAGATTTATGGCTCCTTAGTTACTCAGTATTGCTGCTGGATCAGTGGCATCAACTGAAGTATAAGTTAAACTATCTCCGTCACTTTCATATTTCAGTACCTAACACATGACAAATGCTGGGTCTTTATCGAATGAAAGATCTGAGTAAACGCTCCAGGGCACTGACCTGCCCTGTCTTTTAAGAAATATTTGTGGGGGTCCCATCCTAAAACTCTAACTTCGGGTTTGAATGGTAATTATTATTCACAATAGTGGGTGAATTTGTACTCTTTTGAAGTCTATGGGCACAAATAACTATATCGTCTACAAACATGGTACATGGAAATTTTGTGAGAGCTGGTTGAGGGAGAAAATAATTTTGTATCCAGTCGTCTTTTGAGTTTTGTTATTAGTTAACATCTACTAAACATTTTAAGATTGTCAAAAGTCACTTCTGTC